ACTGGCCAGCATCTTATCCTGCAGGTCCAAAGATTACTTATTCAAGCAGACAGGGTCTTCCTCTCTGTCCATGCAAGTGTTTGATCAGAGAAAAACTTGCTGGTGTGGGTAGCACTGCAGGTGGCAGGTACTGACAGTACTACCAGTGCATTAAAAGGTTGGAAGGGGATGGAACTGGGCTGCCTGTGTCAAGCAAGCAAGGCAACATGTCTGTTATGATCATTGTTGTTGATAATGATGATGATGAATGTGATAATATAAACTAGTGCCATCCACATTCAGTCTGACAATGATGATTTTTCTTTTTCATGTACTCTTGATAGCTTTTGGAATAGATTTATTCTCTGTTGCCTTGCCTCTCTACATTTTTGGAGTAGCTTTTAAGGGTTCTTTAGGGCTTTTGGATGAGTGCCAGAATAAAGGAATGGAAGGAAAGCAAACAAAAACAACCAAAAAAAAAGATAGTCCCTTTCTGTTGTTCTCAGCAGCAGTGGTTAGTTTGGGAAAATGCAAAATATTGTAACATTAGAACATATAGCAAAACCAACTGCTTTAATCCCCAGGCCATCTCTTGAAAATGGTTTTGTGACTTAGTTCTCCCATCCATGGAGGCTCCATCTTGCAACCTGCAAGATTTAAAGGGTCTACTGCTAATGTCTTTGTGCCAGATCCCCCCAGGACATGTTCAGAGAACTGCTGGATAGCTCAGTGGTTTAGACATCTGGCCGCAGAGCCAGAGGCTGGGAGTTTGATTCCCTATTGGGCCTCTCTGATTGGGGGCTGGACTTGATGATCCATAAGGTCTGTTTCCAGCTCTGCAGTTCTAAGATTCAAAGGACCCGTGGAGTCCATGCCTTGACACATCAGAGCTATTTTGGAAGTACGAGGGGGATCTACCTGATATGAAGCAGTAGTTTTTCTGTTGTGGCTGATCAGTGTACAGTATGTGTACATTAACTGCTTTAGCTCCTGTTGAGCCATTGCTACCCTGTTCTTTCCCTCCGTTGACACTGAGACTACAACCTTCTCAGGGTACGGACTGCCATGTACACTGACAGAAGTGGATAATTTGTCTTTTCTTGCAGTCAACAGCTGTCAGGAAAGAATTCCCTGGATTCTGCTACCAATACATGGGACAATGGGATTGCTGTTTCAGTTCTGCTGCAGTAAAACCAACAAGGAGCCTCGTGATACTATGAAGAGTTTTATTTCCAACCCATGGAAAGATAATTTCCACAAGGCAGAGACTGCAGGAACTTTGGGTTCCCTGGGATTCATTATAATGAGGAAACAGAAAGCTGAAGGTGTGCACTCTGGACTTTAAGAAAGCCATTTTTGGTAAGTGTAAATAAATATTGGATGAGATCCCCTGCTCAAAAACATTTGAAGAGAAAGGATTCACAATGCATGGGAATGTCATAAAGGAAAAATAGACTGAAGGAAAAATCACAAACAATGCAAACAAGGAAGAAAAGCAGCAAACAGCTCAACAAACTGGCCGGGGGAGCTGCATAACATGTTTTGAGATGAGCTGAGACTTAAGAGAGGCATCTAGACGAAATGGGAGGGGGCACATACTCACAAAGAAGAGTGCAAACTAGGAGCCAATATTCATAGGAAGAAGGTCAGGAGGGTCAAATCCCAGAATGAAGAAGTCAAGCCTCACAAGAGATGTTAAACATAACGTAACGGGTTTTTCAGCTGATACGTGGAGCAGAAGAAGAACAAGGAAGTGGGATGTGCACCACACATAAAGAAGGAAGCAATGCTAATGGATGACAGTGGGAAGACAGAACGGCTGAACACTTTTCTCTCTCTGCCTCTTACTTCTCCCTAAAGAAAGAAGGCACTGGACCTAGTACAAATAGAGTGAACAATGCAGGGAGGGGATTGTTTCCCAAGATCAGCAAGATGATTCAACACTGAATGATTAATTAACATCTCCAGGGTGTGCAAGGGCTGTTCAATGGGCTGTTCAAAAACAAGTCACCACCTTCTCTTATTTTAATGCTTGGTTGATCACTAGAATGGAGTAAAAGTGGCACATTCTGATTTCAGCAAGGTTTTTGACAAGATCTCAAATTACATTCTTGTGGACCAGCTGGTGAACTGTGGGCTAGGCAATGCTGCTGTCAGAGGGATTTGTAACTCCCTGATAGGTCATATCCATCACTCATCAATGGTCCTTAGAGATGGATACAAACCATGTGTGCTTCAGCCATCTGGCCTGGTGCCCACAAAGGTGTTCCATGGGTGCTGCATGGTTCCTTCCCTCACTTCCTCTGTGCGACTGCCCACTCACTGGCGGCAGCTCGCTTCCCTCCTCTGTCTTCTCCACACGATTGTCCATTAAGATGAGAAGGTGGAGCAGGGAAGACCATGGGGCTGCCAGTGAGTGGAAAATCACATGGAGAAGGCAGAGGTGGGAAGTGTGCTACTGCCCGTGATTGGGCAAGTGCACAGGAGAGGCATGAGATGGAAGTGCACAACACTTGTGCAAATACAGCACCCAAGTGTTCTGAACTGTCAAAGTGTGATTCATGCCAATCTCTATTCCTCGCCATCGTAGAAAGTAGTGACAAGCTCTGTGCTGTAGGGTTCCCTCCTCGGTTCCATGCAGCAAGCATCTTTCTAATGAATTGTATGAAGGAGTGGCAGGGATGTTTATCTCTGCAGATGACAACAAATTAAGAAAATTAGGATTCAATATGACTTCAATAGGCTAAGAAACCTAGGCTATAAGTTTCAACAAAGAAACTCATTGAGGTAGGGAAAAAAAAAACGGTTGCACACAAATAAGATGGATGACAATTAGCTTGGTGGTACTATCATGGTGCCGCTGTGGGTTAAACCGCAGAAGCCTCTGTGCTGCAAGGTCAGAAGACCAGGAGTTGTAGGATCGAATCCACATTAAGGAGTGAGCTCCCGTCGCTTGTCCCAGCTCCTGCCAACCTAGCAGTTCAAACGCATGTAAAAATGCAAGTAGATAAATAGGTACCACCATGATGGGAAGGTAACGAAATTACATGTCTAGTCACGCTGGCCACGTTACTATGGAAACTGTCTATGGACAAATGCTGTCTCTATGGCTTGGAAACAGGGATGAGCAGCACGTCCTAGAGTCGGACACAACTGGACTAAATGTCGGGGGAACCTTTAGCTTTACCTACTATGCGTAAAAAAAACCTCAAGGCTGTAGCAAACCACAAGGCAAGCATTTGGTAGCAAAAAAAAAGTTAAAACAATGGAGCCATCCTGCAACAATGGAAATATAATATCCAGATCTACTAAAGCAATAATACTTTTCTATACTACTTTGTATGAAATCCAGTTCTGGGCACCACCGTTGAAGGATGTCAAAAACCAGGAATGTGTCAAGAGGAGAGTGACCAAGATCTTTAAAAGATTTAGAAACCAAGTCCGGTGATGAATCGTTGAGAAAACTAGGTATATTGTAATGGGGCGTCATATGGAAAAAAGAGCAAGCTTTGTTTTCTGCCACTTCAGAGATGAATAGATTCACGTTATAAGAAAGGAGATTTCAAACAAACTTTTAAAGAGAACTTTCTGATGGTTAGCCTATTTTGCAGTAGGACAGGCAATCTCAGAATAGATTTACAAATATCGAAATTAATTTTGGTGTGGATTAATGTACCATTATCCACATCAAAAGAGGAAAGTCCTCAGAGGTCAGCAGTTATGAGTTTACCAGTAAACAATTTATTCAAAACTTAAGAGGAGCAGAAAATCTACAAATGGCATTTACAAATAATTCAATATAAACCATAAAGAATTTAAATCACTATTAAACATTTTAACAGAGTGAAAGTGGCACTCAGAACAAAACTCTATGTAAAAGGAAAAATTATTGCCATTAACAGCTAGACAACCTCAGCATTAATGTGCTTTTTTGAAACTGTGGACTGGAAGTACGGTGATCTTCATGGTTTAAATAGGAAAATCCGAGGCATATATAAAGCACCTTTATTTGTCATAGAGCATGGGTAGGAGCAGGCCTGTTGATCACAAGACCATCTGCATGGGTCAAACTGGAAAACTTCAAAACTACTTTCATGGGAAAACAGTTCCATTTCACTACCTGATACCAAAGAACAATAAAGGATCTGCAAATGAGAACTAATCTAATGAAAGTTTGATAGCACAGAGACGCATAGCTTGAGAAATCATGACATGGACAACACCCCTTGAAAAGTAAATTGCAACACTATCATGGGACAAACAACTTATCACTGATGATACACATGTTTTCAAAGAAAAGCAGATATTTGGATAAGCAACAAAGGAAAACACACCTTACAGAAGTTGGAGTTTCATCAGCAAGCAACCTCAAAAGTAGAGAAAGTACAGAAATTGTGAAGTACCAAACATTAAGAAAAAACAATTAAGAAAATATGGAAAGAAGATAAGGTCATCCTCCTCCGTATATTAATTTCAGCAACCAGAGCTGCTCCAAAATATGTGGCTACTGATCTAAAACAATAGCCAACAGTTGCTAATTTGCTTCCTGAAATTCAACAATGAGTGATTTTGCAAATGTGTCATCTCACCCATAAATTTTTTAAGACCTAATTCCTCACTATTTAGGCTCAGTCTTTGGGTCCATTCCATGCACCACCAATGCTGAGAAACAAGACACCGTATATGTATTTATGAAGATGATGATGATGTGCCAACAAGTCCATTCCAATTTATATAGAGACCCTTGCCAGGGTTTCCTAGATACAAAGTATGCAGGAGTATTTACCAAAACATTTATCTGATGGCACTGTATGACTTGGTATGCTCACTTAAGGCTGTACAGCCTGGCTTGTCTCTTGAGAGGCACAATAAGGAATTGAAGTCCTGACCACTGGCTGCACAGGAAAGTACTCCATTGAGTTATCCAGACAGCTGCTAACACATAATCCAAAATTCATGCATCTGACAAAATAATATACAAAGCGTACAGTTTAGTCTGATTAAAAGTCAAAAATGCTTACCTGCAGATATATCATCATCAGTCAGGTCATGTTCTTCTTCTTGAATCTTGGTTTCAGATCCTGATGGTTCAGAAGTAGGAGTAGCAGTCTGAATGGCTTCTGTGGTCACTCCAGCTATGAAGTTAAAATCACAGAAGCAATTAAAGATACATTTGCATTGCTCTGAAATAATAAAATCTTCTCATTTTTACATTACATTAAACACTTGTCATACGAAGAAACTGGAAAGACCAAGAAAGATTTCATATCCTTCAGGAATCAGACTGTTGAATTTGACTTCTCTAAAAAAAAAAATCAGGGCAATTTTGACCCAGTTTCACCAGGCTTCCTGAAAATGTAAGAAGACATAGGCCAGTTTCTGGGAATTGGCTCTCCATGACAATTGTTCTGAGTTTTGGTTTCATGCATATAAAGAAAGCAGGTTGCATTGAACATAGGGATACTTGATTCCTGAAACAACTTACATATATTTGGTATAAAACATCCAGTTGCATATAGCTTTTCTCAAAATATTGTGAATGCTGTTCTGTTTATTGGAAATATATGCAAAAAAGTAATAATAATAATTCAGGGATATAATACTGGTTATCAATGTTTGAGATACGCACAAATCTCTTGTAGCATAAATCCTGAGTCTTCTTTTCCCATTAAAATGATTTAATGCATGTTGTCTCGCCCTTCTCTGTATATATCACCTTCCTTGCATTATACTACAGTGGGGTCTTGACTTAAGAACGGCTTGAGTTAAGAACATTTTGACTTAAGAACCACTCTCATAGGAAAATATTGACTTGACTTAAGTACTTAAATTTGAGTTAAGAACTGAAAAAAAACCACGTGGGAGGCAGGGAAAGTGCAAAATGTGAACTTTCAGTTAACTGTTGGCCAGTGAAAAGGGTGCCTGTCTGCTTCCTCACTCCTCCCAGCATTTAGAGAGTGGATTGGGAGACAGTCTTCAGACTGCCTGGTACTGGACTGCCTGGACTGTCTTTTCCCTGCCTTCCCTGAACCTTTCTTGACCTAAGAAAAAAAGAAACAAAATATCCCCCTCTAGTGGTCGAAGGCAGAATAGCAGCTTCCCATTAGTTTCTATGGACGGAAAAGAGCAGATACGGATCAAATGGTTTTCAATGCATTCCTATGGGAAATGCAGATTTGACCTGAGAACTTTTTGACTTGAGAACCGCCTTCCAATACGGATTAAGTTCTCAAGTCAAGACCCCACTGTATAAGCTTGCTAAGGCAGGGACCTGTAATTCTTACTCACATTACTCTAATGTACCCACTTCTCTGATGACATTGTATACATAAAAATGATTATAAAGGCTGTCCTATGTCTTTACTATTGTTATTATTACTTGTATTCATATTCTGTTCTCTCAGCACTGTAGGAGTATATGGAATATGTTCCTTTTAAGGAGTTCATTTTGTATGAGACAGTGGGAGTGTGTGTGACTAGGCAGTGAGGCCAATATATCAAAACCCTAAAATAAAAGTCAGGTGAAAGAAATGATTACACATCAACACATGAAACAGAAAGCTCAATTGTGTCTACAAGCCAACTTCTTCAACAAAGGATTAGAGGCTACAATTATACCAAGTTAGCCCAATGGCTCACCGAAGTCAGTACAGTATTATCGACACACTGATAGACAGCAGGTAAGCATGGTTTCATGAAAAATCCAGAACTCCATCTGGATATGCCAAGGATTGAACCTGCAATCACTTGTATGCAAAGCAGGTGCTCTACTATTAAGTTACAACTTCTACTCCTTGTATCAGCGATCCATATAATTCTTCAGAATGAAACAAACTTCACAGTTTTGGGGTGGCAACATCATTCATCATTATCCTTGCAATTTGAGCTTGATGTGCTAGACAGATTCAAGACCTCACTCTTGGCTTCGAGGCAGGAGAAGCCATCCTTTAAAATGTTATGAAGGGGCTAATGAAAGTCCCATAATTTGGATGAATTCCTCCCCATTATTGGGTTAGATGCTTTTACCTGAATGACTGTTCTGCTTTTTCCCTTCCTCTCTCATACATATACCCCTCTATCATTCCATAAGACACTGGCAAAAGAAAGCCAGATTTAAAAACAGACAGAAAACAATTTTTAGCATAATAGTCTCTTTTAGTTGGTTTATGAGATTATGTGAAATACTTGATGCATTCAAGGTACTGGAATCCCATTTTTAAAAAAGGACCTACAGGATCCATAAATGGAATCCTGTGTATGGAAGGGAACATCTAAAAGTTACAGGAGATACAGCATATGTAGAGTTCCATCTGGCTGATATGGCAGGTAAGTCATACAGGCAATGTTTGAAAGGGTAATATCTTTGACAGGCACAAAGAAATGCATGGTAGATCTCCAAAGTGGTTGTTTTTATCATGGTTTGTGCCTACTATATACACTAGTACAGCTCTCCTTTCGAATATGATGCATAGTCTAAAATTTTGCCAGAAAAAGAACATTTTTCTCTGGTTTTATCATGCACATGCAAACATTTTAATAGATATGTTATACAGAAAAGAGATGTGCTCTTTTTGAAATATTCATGAAAAAGTTAGCTAATCCTTGCACATTGTGATCATATTATTCAAACACTGAAAGGTTGGAGAAACAAATTACTGTATGTATACACACTTGTTAGTATCCTTTCCTTTTGCAGTCTACATCACTTTGACTTCTAATCTCATGCCACTTGGAAACCTGTTTGGTACTGGATTTTTGTACCCCAAATATAATAACTATTCCGCTGATGCTCCCCGTCCTTGTTAAATGAAACAAGTCATTTGCAAGACATGCCTAACTCACTGTAGAAAAAAATTGTGGGTGTCCTTTGGTTTCATATTTGCATACAGCTGAGCCCAACTTGGAAATGACAAATAAAGAGGTTATTTACCTGTAACCATAGTTCTTTGAGTAGTCCTCTGTGAATTCACAGATATGGGTATTGTCTGTGCCTGCGCTGAATCTCTCGGAAGATTCTAGAGCTAAAAGTAACAATTTTATGGTGTGATCCTCCACGAGGTATATGCTCCACCCACCCACCATCTTCCCCAGTTCCTGGATTTTATCCACCGGGTATGAAGGAAAGAGAAGGGACGTGGTGGTGCTGCGGGCTAAACCGCAGAAGCCTGTGCTGCAGGGTCAGAAGACCAAGCAGTCGTAAGATCGAATCCACGCGACGGAGTGAGCGCCCGTTGCTTGTCCCAGCTCCCGCCAACCTAGCGGTTCGAAAGCATGCAAATGCAAGTAGATAAATAGGGACCACCTCGGTGGGAAGGTAACAGCGTTCCGTGTGTAAGTCGCACTGGCCATGTGACCACGGAAGATTGTCTTTGGACAAACGCTGGCTCTATGGCTTGGAAACGGGGATGAGCACCGCCCCCTAGAGTCGAACACGACTGGACAAAAATTGTCAAGGGGAACCTTTACCTTTACCTTTTATGAAGGAAAGAATTAATTAATTATATAATCATACCCGTGACGGATAGAGAGGGAGGATGGGCAGGTTGTGTGAATTCACAGAGGACCACTCAAAGAACTATGGTTAAAGGTAAGTAACCTCTTTTTCTTTTTCGTGGCCTCTGTGAATGCACACATATGGGTTGGTGGGTCGTCACGGTAAGAAGGATGACAGGATAGCTCTGCCAAATGCAGCATCTTGGCGT